AGTAATTGCATATTTTATGTATCTTAAAATAGCTTGCATTTTAATTGATATTTTGCTTCATTCTTGCGAGCAAACTTACAAGTTGAACAATCACAATCACGACCGTGGAATTCACGGTCATCAGGCAGTTCGAAAACGGCAGCTTCGCCTACTAATTATACATCAAGAGGAATAAATAACAACAGTGAAAGTAGTACTACCACTAGCAGAGTAACCAGTCTTCATACCAATTTTAACAATAATGATAACAACAATGCAGAGTCAGCGTCCGCCGCAACCATCAAGCCCAAAAAACTATCGCCGCACGTTCCCCTTCCACCAAACCAGCCATCAAATACGTGATAGCACTGTATGATTACGATGCATAGGCGGATGACGATTTGACTTTTAAAAAAGGATGACCGTATTCAGTTGGTTGAGAATAAGAATGATCGGTGAAAGGGGAGACTTAATGGTGTGATTGGCGTGTAATTATTTTTTATTATTATTTATGTTATTTGTTGTTCTAAATCTACCTTATGAATTTCTAGGAAGAACTTTGAACAAAGCAAACAATATCTGATTAATTTTATTTGTACAAGATCAAAGTCAGTGTTTTTTTATTAGAATATTTGAGTTATCAAAATACATGTATCTATTTTTATTGATTTTGGAACATGTAGACAATCAATGATAATGTTCTCATTAATTCAAGAATTGTTAGAATCAATAAATTAACAAAGTAACATAATGGTGAAAGAACAAAGACTGAATGATTTATGATTAATGGGTTTATTAAAGGTTTTAAAGATCTCTTGTGGTAGCTTGTATGCACTAAATATCAAAGATAAAAATAGGACAAGGAGATGAATTGAATAAAAAGAATAAAATAAATTAAAATAAAAGTAGAATAATTATTAAAGAATTAACAGAACTTATTGAGAATATCTAATAAAATAAAATAACAATTGGTCTTATTGAGAATGTCAATAAAGAAAATAAAAACAAAATAACAAAAAATAAAATAACTAGAACTTATTGTTATGATCTAAAAATAATAAATAAAAATACTAATGTCAACAGCTTATTTAAAGTGGAAAAATATTCATTACTTATAGTTAAGATTTAAAGATAATCAAGAAAATAATAGTATATTCACAAGTATAATATTACAAATAAGAACTTTGTTATTTTTATTAGATCAAAACATGAAAGTTTCTAGTAATAATAAACTCTTCTTTTATATATTTTCAACAGTTTCTTCAATTATATAATTAATAGTATTCTAAACTATATTGCTATTTATAGATAATATTGAATAATACTAAAAATGAACAAAAACTAAAAAAATATACAAGATAATAGAAAATAAAATACAAGAAAATTTATTATAAATTTTAGTAGTTAAAGATAAGAAAAATTACAAAATTACAATAAAGAAAAGTTAAATAACATGAAATTAATTATAAGAAAATACAAAATAAAGATAGAAATAGTAATAAATATAAAGATAAAATGAAAAATAATATATAATTAATTTAAAGTAATAAAATTTAAATTAAGAAAATTCTTATTAAAGATAAATATAGAATATACAAATAGCAAAAAAATTTAATTTGAGAAAGAAAAAATAAAGAGTAAAAAGAAAAAGAAAAATATTAAAATATATAAAAATGCAATTCATTAATAATTATTTTAATTATCAATTAAAAAGAAAATAATATTCATAAATTTTGTATTAAATAAATTATATAATAAATATTAAGAATATTTTATATATTATACTAATTAAAAAATTAAGAAATTAACAAATATATAAAATATAATTATACTTATATATCTCTTAATAAAAATAACAAAATAAAATTTATACTTTTATTTTAATATCTTAACTTTAGAAATTGATCTATTATATAATATTAATTAAACTTAAATTTTATGTTTTTTATTTTTTGTTTATCTAATTATCATTATTATAATAGCAATATTTTTAAAAAATTAATTATTTTTTATTAATTAAATAATTATATTAGTTAAAGATTTATATATAATATCAATATTAATATATATATTACATATATTATACACATATAATTCAAATTAACTTGAAAAGAAAAATTAGAATGTAATAAAGTATATATTTAAATAATATAAACTATATATATTTCTATATTCTTATATTTGGTAATTTTGATATTAATATAGTATTTTATTAATAAGATTATTCAATTAATTATTAATTAATAATTAGTAATTTGTTTGATCAATTATCATGAAAAAAAAATAGAATTAATTTTATTATATATATAATACAAACTATTTAAATAATATAAATTATATTCAAATAAAATTTTTTGTTTATTTTAAATATTTTTTATTTTAGAGAAAAATACAAAAGTATATTTGATTATATTTGTATATTTTCTTAAAAATCTTATATATAAAATATATATATTATAACTTTGCTTATCAAATAGTCATTTATCTGTTATATAATTATTTTAAAATTATAAATATTTGTAGTTTAAGTATATGATATTTTCTGGATTATAATTAAAATTCAATTTGATAATTATATAAAAAAGTTTCTTAATTAAATTTTTTGATATTTATTAATCTTGATAAATTATATATTAGTAAATTATTCAAAAAAAATTCATTTAATTTCATACATTTTTTATTATACTATTAATATCTTTATTTTTACTATTTAATAAATTTTGTTTGCAATAATCTAAATATTTAAAACTCATTTTTTTTATAATAAATGCAAATATTATAATGATAAAACTTCTATATCAAACAAAGTTCTAATAGTATATATAAATAAATAAATTGAAAAGCATATTTTTTAGTATTTAGTACTTCTAACTCTTCAAAATATCTAATAATTATATTATTTTTTAGATATATAATATTAGTTAATTTATAATATATATATTATAAATTGACTTAACTTAGATCATGAACTATTATATAACTGAAACAATTTTTATAACACTGACAAATATATAGTTTACTAATAATATTTATATACTATGAATTGATATATAATTAAAATAATCATCAGGAGTTTAAAATACTAGCAAAATTATGGTAAACTTTGAACCTGGTGAAAAAGGTAAAAAAATTCAGTTTAAAGAAATGCAAATATCTCTGCATACAGTGAACCAAATTAAATGAATTTGGTATCATTAGAAAGGTTTAGTCAAGGTGCATTTAATGATATCAAAATTATTGAATTTGATTTACTAGATGCGGAAATATTACATTTTAAAAACACCATACAAAATCATTCAAAATTGTATAAAATTTCTTTATTATTCTGCAAAGAAAATTGATTTTTGCATATCCAATAAACCAAATTAAATAAATTTGATACCATTAGAAAGGTCTAGTTAAAATGCATCTAATGATATCAAAATCATTGAATTTGACTAGCTAGATGCATCTCAAAAACAATGTACAAAATTGTAAAAAAATTTTGTACAATTTTGTACATTGTTTTTGAGAAATGATATCTCCGCATCTAGTTAGCTAAATTCAATGATTTTGATAACATTAGATGCATCTTAACTAGACCTTTCTAATGGTATCAAATTTATTTAATTTGGTTTATTGGATATGCAAAAATCAATTTTCTTTGCAGAATAATAAAGAAATTTTATACAATTTTGAATGATTTTGTATGGTGTTTTTAAAATGTAATATTTCCGCATCTAGTAAATCAAATTCAATAATTTTGATATCATTAAATGCACCTTGACTAAACCTTTCTAATGATACCAAATTCATTTAATTTGGTTCACTGTATGCAGAGATATTTGCATTTCTTTAAACTGAATTTTTTTACCTTTTTCACCAGGTTCAAAGTTTACCATAATTTTGCTAGTATTTTAAACTCCTGATGATTATTTTAATTATATATCAATTCATAGTATATAAATATTATTAGTAAACTATATATTTGTCAGTGTTATAAAAATTGTTTCAGTTATATAATAGTTCATGATCTAAGTTAAGTCAATTTATAATATATATATTATAAATTAACTAATATTATATATCTAAAAAATAATATAATTATTAGATATTTTGAAGAGTTAGAAGTACTAAATACTAAAAAATATGCTTTTCAATTTATTTATTTATATATACTATTAGAACTTTGTTTGATATAGAAGTTTTATCATTATAATATTTGCATTTATTATAAAAAAAATGAGTTTTAAATATTTAGATTATTGCAAACAAAATTTATTAAATAGTAAAAATAAAGATATTAATAGTATAATAAAAAATGTATGAAATTAAATGAATTTTTTTTGAATAATTTACTAATATATAATTTATCAAGATTAATAAATATCAAAAAATTTAATTAAGAAACTTTTTTATATAATTATCAAATTGAATTTTAATTATAATCCAGAAAATATCATATACTTAAACTACAAATATTTATAATTTTAAAATAATTATATAACAGATAAATGACTATTTGATAAGCAAAGTTATAATATATATATTTTATATATAAGATTTTTAAGAAAATATACAAATATAATCAAATATACTTTTGTATTTTTCTCTAAAATAAAAAATATTTAAAATAAACAAAAAATTTTATTTGAATATAATTTATATTATTTAAATAGTTTGTATTATATATATAATAAAATTAATTCTATTTTTTTTTCATGATAATTGATCAAACAAATTACTAATTATTAATTAATAATTAATTGAATAATCTTATTAATAAAATACTATATTAATATCAAAATTACCAAATATAAGAATATAGAAATATATATAGTTTATATTATTTAAATATATACTTTATTACATTCTAATTTTTCTTTTCAAGTTAATTTGAATTATATGTGTATAATATATGTAATATATATATTAATATTGATATTATATATAAATCTTTAACTAATATAATTATTTAATTAATAAAAAATAATTAATTTTTTAAAAATATTGCTATTATAATAATGATAATTAGATAAACAAAAAATAAAAAACATAAAATTTAAGTTTAATTAATATTATATAATAGATCAATTTCTAAAGTTAAGATATTAAAATAAAAGTATAAATTTTATTTTGTTATTTTTATTAAGAGATATATAAGTATAATTATATTTTATATATTTGTTAATTTCTTAATTTTTTAATTAGTATAATATATAAAATATTCTTAATATTTATTATATAATTTATTTAATACAAAATTTATGAATATTATTTTCTTTTTAATTGATAATTAAAATAATTATTAATGAATTGCATTTTTATATATTTTAATATTTTTCTTTTTCTTTTTACTCTTTATTTTTTCTTTCTCAAATTAA